GGAGCCACAGTCCAATGAAAAGTTGTTCTTTATCGCCCCATGGGATCTCAAAAAGGCTCATAAATTGGAAGTGTAAGTCCCCTATGACCAGTGAGTAAGAAGCTAGAGGGCAAAGGGGGTTATCTGGATGTCTGAAGAGTGGTTAACCCATTCTCCAACTCTATGTTGGGGAAGGCGGCCACCCCTTCCACCACTCTGTGCCGTTAACAGTAAATACAGAGGCCCAGAATCTGGAAGCCAGGCATTGGTGAGCAGGGAAGAAACACAGGTTAAAAGCAAAGAAGGTAAGTCTAAACCTGTAGGGAATAGTGAAACCCTCAGCAAGTTTCCCATCAGCTACAATAGTTTCAGAATCCCTGGAAGGTATCAGAAAGATTCTTCTCAGGTGAAACTGTACAAGTCCTAGAGGAAAGGCTCACAAGAGGCTGAATTTGGGGTATGCTCCGATGAAAAAGCTGAAAAAATGAAACCTAAAATTCATAAACAAAAAACTTGTATGTAAATAGTGCTTCACTTGTAAATTAAAAAAAAAAAGTGTCTCACATGTAAATGTGAAAAAATGGCGAATAATCACCAGACATTCAAGGAAAACAGTCCATGAGAATGACAGATCCAAACTTTCTTTTAAAAAGCCTGAAAGAGGCAGATAAAATGTAAGGAACACAGAAAACTTTCAGGAATTGTAAAATATTCTCAGATAAGATACTGCATTCTTAAAACAAGAACACAGTAACATTTAAAAAATGATGTGAGAAATAACTCTTGGAAATTAAAAATATGATAGCTGAAATTAAAAATTCATTAAAACAGTTGGAAATGCAGTTAAGGGATTTTCCCTAAAGGTAAACTGAAGACAAGAAAAATAGAGAAGAAAATAGTCCTAGATCAGTATGGGATCTTCAACATAAGATTAGATGTTACAGAAAGAGGAAAGGGAAAAAAAGTAGTTGAAAGGAAACTGTCAAAGAAATTATCTCAGAAATGAAATATCTGCATTTCCAGACTAAAAACTGCCATGGTAATGAAAGAACAGACCTACCCAGATGGTTTTAAATGAAGTCCCAGGACAGCACTATTTTGGACTGTCTTCCTCCTCCAGGATTTACATGTTGAAACCCTACTCCAATACCACAATACCAATAGGTGCTGGTATTAAGAGACGGAGCCTTTGGGAGGTTACTAGAATTTGATGAGGTCATGAGGGTGGAGCCCTCATGAATGGGATTAGTGTCCTTCCATCCTGTATAAAGTCATTGACCTGATAAAATAGGCAGTTTCTTTAGTTATTTGGAAATTTAAATGCAAATACAAGAAAGCAAGGACAAAATATTTAAAGTAGTTACCTCCAAGTAGCAAATGTGGGGAAAATTTGGGAATGGTCAAGGGCATAAAGTGTGCTAATCACACTAATAAGTCCTTTTACCACTATTTGACTTTTTGACTTTGATAAAGATTGAGATTATTTTTTAAAAATAAAATGAAAGAAAAAGGAAGTCTCAGAATACTAAAAGATCAATGTATTTTTTTTTGCTATTGAGTTATCACCTATTATACAATATTCAGACACTGCTTTTCTGATACCATCTTTCTGCTCATGTGATGTCAGCCCTCTCCTTATAAATGAGTTAATATATCATATATCTCAGCAAAACCTGTACCCTCACATTTTGGAAGGCATTGAGGTTTCTTTCTTAAAATGAAAGGCAGCTTTTCAACTCAGAATTTTCATTAGGGGAGAAATAATTATCAATCTACAAATCAAAACACAGCACAACTAACAAGTTTTAACTTGCAAGACTTCTGAGTTTTAGAGGCAACTCAAAAGAGCTGGCTCAATTTTTCATTTGTAAATATTATGCATTTGCCACACTAATATGAGTTTTATCTTCCTATGAAAGGCCAAACAGATCTTACTATTACTTATATAAGACTAGTAGTTAAAGGTCTTGGGTGGTTATTTGTATCTATTTTTCAAAGAGGCAGAAATTTTTACAAATCATGAAATGTATAGCGAGAATCAGAGGGGCTTCAGGCCTGCAATGGGGATTATGACCAAGAGTTTCCAGGAACTAATATTTCATTTAAACACGCCCTGCTACTTGTTTACGATGCCTGAATCTTCACATCAATAACATATTAAAAACCTAGCACCAGGAATAAAATATGTTATATTGTTTCTTTTCTCTATTCACTATGTTCTCTTTTAGCAAATCAATATTTCAAAACTTCCTATAGTTCTCGATCTTTTTCATCTTGCTTTTATCCCTAAGTTTTCTCTAAAATTTTCTATCCCTGACACAGACCTATTCTTTTTCTTGTCACTTTAGAAAGGAAGGACTTGAGACAGGAGGGTATTCAAATGTGCCTGACACTCAAGGCCATTGAAAAGTAACTTAGCAAGCAATATACTGTTGTATTCAAGGCAAGTTTGAATCTTCAATATAAGAAAGAATAACTTAAAACAAGACCACAATTGATTTTAAAAAATAGTCTACATTTTATATTTAGAAGAAAAAATGTCTACAACAATTTTTAAAACTGGGCTTTTTGTGTTGGACAACCATCCTCTATTTCTAGGAAATATTCTGCAGTCAGTATACATGCAAAGCAGTCCCATACAGCATCTGTCCTGAAATTGCCTTACAAAAAGAACTAATGTTTAAAATAACCCCTAAGAAGTTAAAGATACAAAATAATTTAAATCAAAATTCAATTTCAATACCATTAAATAATGGAAATTGGACCAAAAAACTTTGGAAAAGTCTTTATTTTAACCAAAGGCTTTCTTCTGGGACCTGGGTTAGCATGAAACAATATATAAGTCCATCTAAACAATTCTGTTAATAACGCCCTGCTCATCTGTCAATGTTTATATTTAGTAAGTTGCATCACCAGCCAACCAGGAGATCCAGTCAGATGCCTGGGAATCAGATTGATTTCTTTCCTCCTTCCAAAAGACCTCCAAATCTTGGTGGTTGTACTTCTTAAATACCCAGTAGGAGCAAGTGTCCCACTGATATCACTATTGTACTAAGCCCCCAATACCCTACTGCATATCCAATAGCCTTACTACATGACTCTGCCCCTGTCCTTTTCACTGAAACCCTTTTAATTTGTCCTGTGGAAAGACGATAACTCCTTAACATATATTTCAAGACTCTCCATGACTGATTCCACTACCCCATTGTATGTTTTGATATTTGTCTCAATCTGCCCTCTCTTTTCTCATATCAGCTGCACTGGAGCTCCAATACCTTGCTTATTTGCCTTCCTGGAGACTGTTACCACTTCCTCCAATGCTGTTCCCTCTTTCTTTGCCTCATCAGCTCCTATTCGTCATTCAGGTGTTAGTTTAAATGTCATTTCCTCACAGAAGCCTTGCTGACCCCTGACCTAAATTCACTGAACTCAGTAACCACCTTGTTCACATGCTTACGTTGTGGGTTGGTCTACATTTGCAGCTGTGTGATAGGAGATGTCGGTGGTTTTTAAAAACTAACAAATTTAAAAATGAGAAAATGCTATATTCATTATTTATGAAAACTGAGGAAAACTCAATTATCAATTTCAATTATACATTTGGGGATAGCTAACAAAACACTAATGTGAGGTCTAAAATTTGCTGCGACTTCCATTTTTTGTCATATTAAAAAATGATCATGCTGTTGTCTCAATTTTTTGTAGTATTAAAATATAATCACTACTTGAGTGAAATTCCTTACCTGTACCTTTAATTCAGATGAATTAATCAATTTCTAGTTAAATACTTAACATGCTACAAAATTTAACATGTGGTTCTAAAACACATAAGTTTTTTCATATTTATATAAGTGACCAACAATATGTATAGGAATAGAGATAAATAGAATTTGAGATGTTCATGGGACAACCTTTGACCAAACATTTTTACATACTTTTTTTTCTCAAGTGTATTGTATATAGTACCTTAATACCATCTTATTTCATTCTCAAAACAACTCTAAGAGGTAGGCAAAAGAGGTATCATTATCCCCTTTGCAAAGACACAGCTTAAATGGTTCACCCAAAGTTACCACCTACCAAAGTTAATGACCCAACGTTAGAATCCAGGACTTTGATTGCAAATACAGAACTCTTTGCTCCATGTGCTATAATCTTGAAAACTCCACGTGCAATACCTTGAAAACTCAAGGTATTAATTCCTTTAGGGTAACAATGCTCTCTCGAGCTTTTCCTATTTTTAAATGCAAATAATCCTATCTAAATTACATATTAAAACATACTTATGTGTGAATTATTTTGCCACATCATTTCCCTTAAGTCAGAAGGACTTTCAGCTAATAGGATTTATGACCAGTGATGGGTAGTTGAGAAAAAAAAAAGAAAAAAAGAAAAAAAGAAAAGGCATCACAAAAATACTAGTAAGGAATACATTAAAGGAACTTTGTATCTTTGCCACTTTGTAGGCCATGTCCATGTAAGAAAGCCCCTTTCAAACAAATTAAACTCTATCCTAAAAAGTAGCTCTTTTCTGACCATGTTTAACTGACAGAGATAGAAATGAATTAGTAGGTTAATCTGTCTGCATCTGACAATTACAGCAATTTACATTTGGATAGCACCACACAATTTACAATATATATTTATATATATTATTCAATTTGATCCTTGTACCAACTAAGTGGTTTACTTATTTATAGATGAGAATCTGTCAGCAGGTTCAAAAGACAAGTCAGGACAGTGTCCCATTCTTCAAACTTTAAAGAGCCTCTTTCCCAAACCCCACAATGCTCATACTTATAGAGCATCATTCTGTTTTTTAAACTTTATTTATTTTGAGAGGGGGAGAGAGAACCCCAAGCAGGCTCTGCGATGTCAGTGTGAAGCCGGATGTGGGGCTCCATGAAGGGGCTTGATCTCATGAACTGTGAGATCATGACCTAAACCGAAACCAAGACTGTCACTAAATGACAGAGCCACCCAGGTGCCCCCATAGAGCATCATTCTTAGTGAATACTTACATTTCATCACAGCTTGAATTTCATAAACAGGCTTGAGAATCAGAGCACCGTAAAAGCCTTTAGGAAATGGATTTGTTAAATCCCACTTATTTGAAAAACCTGTAAGTTTCACAGTTCGTGTTCGGTTCTTGGGTATCTTCCATTCGACAATCTCCTTTAGGGTATAAATATGTTCATCTTCACACTCATAGAATTCTCCTTCTTGTGACAAAGGCAAGGTAAATGAGTGATTTTGATGATTCCTTACCACTCCACAGTTCACCATTATTTCTCCATTGATCTCTTCAACTGAGTTGAGCATGATTTGCTCACCGTGCTTTATAATGAGATTTTCTAGTTTTACATCCTTCTGATGATAGAAGGAAGGATGCCCTAGTCTACTTGATCCAATATGAATGGTCCTCGTAATTTCTTCCATAGTAAGGTATGGAGTTTTATCAGCCACAATCTTAAAAAGACCTAAGAACAGAAGAATTATGCAAATTAAAGAGAGTTCCTACAAGGCAAGTTCTCATAAGAAAATCACAGTGAGAGAGTTACAAAACAAGTGCAGTGTCCTTTATTAAAAAGTGATGTATCTGTTTTAATCCTGAATACTCTAGGTAAAATTGTAACGTATCGTCTGTAGATTACTGGATTGTCAGATCCAGGCAACATAAGTAAAAACAAGGGAAAATATCTTGAAGTAGAAAAGCCTTTGTTCTTAGAAATGGGAAACAGGAATGAGATATTGACTGGCTGTATACCAACTACGTGTGTGATCTTGAGGAAGGCATTTAATCTCTCAAGATCACACTTTCTGTTTTTAAGTTTTAAATTGGGAGGATTGGATTAGGTTGGTGTTTCCATAAATACATTTCCTGGACATAACAAAATTAAAAGATATTCAGGAGAAAACTGTTTCATGGTCAAATTAACAATTACAAAGTTATATACCTGGAACTAGACAGTGGTGATGGTTATATACCATCGTGAATGTACTTAATGAAACTGAATTGTACATTCTTAAATGGTAAATTTTATGTTGTGTATTTTACCACAATAAAAAGTACCTACATATTTCCAATTAAAGACTTCTCAGAAACTTTAGATGCATTGTAACTCACAAGAAGAGACTGTAACATGCAGGATTTTGCAAATTTCTTTTATTATAAAACTCTTGGGGAAATATTCATAATAAATTATAACATATTATATCATGATATATTGGTGCACCATATAACTCTCCTTGGAAAATGCCTGGTTAGGTAGTTGTTCTGGATTGATACTCTTGGTTATATATCATTCTTCTCATTACTTCTGTAATTTTGCCATTGTTTCACTATTAAAAATTTCTTCCTCTAATACTATTAGGACAGTCACTAATATGATGAAATTTTTACTGTTTAAGGTATAACTTTTTAAGCTTGCATGTTTAATTCTCCTCTTTGAATTACTTTTATTTTATGGGCACATCTGCTTTGTAGCACTTATGGAAATGTATTTACTGAAAAGATTATAAAAAATTCCAGAGAAATATGAGCAAAGCAAAAATTAGGTAATTGCTTTCTTAACACGAAACTAACAATAATATGATACGCTAGCACAAACTAAGAAGATAGTGAGATTATCTTAGTAGATACTCATTAGACAATTAGACAATCTTACTAGAATTCAATATAGTTTGAAAAAATAGTTTAAGAGTTTACTCAATAAATATGTTCTAATTAAATTCATCTATATATCAAATCATTATTAACCAGACTATAATGTCTCATGTCTATTCTGGGTTACTACACAAAGATTTATGATCAGTTATATTTGTAGCTGATCTTTGCTCAAACAAAAACAGGATTTGGGTTATTTTTAGAAATAAACTCCCAAACAAGTGTGTGTGATGCATCCTGGCAGTAAGTAAGGTAGCATGTGCAATCTGTCCTGCAAAGCTTCAGAAATTGACTAGGGTTCATTCACTGTATGCTGTGCTTGGAGACAGTAAGGCAAAGAAACATTTACTTTGAAGGAACTTCTTATTTTATTATATCTTGTATCACAGAAAATCCAATAAAAGAATATTCTTGAATTCTGCACAATAAATGAATTTTCATGTATGCATGTGTGTGCACGTGCACACATATGTTTAATCTTACTTGGCTATACATGAAGATTTTTGAGTCTACAATCATTATCACGGTATAGAAAATTCAGCTATTTTTGTGAAATGTTAAAAAAATAGCTACGAGAATCTCATAAATGGTAGAGACACATAGTTTTATTTCTATCCTAGATATATTGATGACATAAGTCACAGAAGAATTAATTCAGCATCTTCTTTCTTGGGGAATTGGGTTCACCTAAGGTAATAACAGACCTAAAATGTTATGAAGTAGAAAAAGCCTGGAACCCTAAGGGCCACCATTATTTCAAGTTAATCACATACTTCAGAGCTGTCTTGTTGAATGTCTCTACTGCAAGAAAAATCTATCTATGAATCTCTGTGTGTTTCCCTTACATGATGATTAAGTACACAGTTTAGCATACTAAGTGGTAGATACAGGAAAATAACTTCGATTAATTTATTTCTTCATCTACTATTGTAGCCAATCCAAAGAGTCCTTCCTTATAAATAGCACTTAATACCATATATATATATACATATATATATATATATATATATATATATT